TCATTAGTTTTTTTTTTTTGTAAATATTTCTTGTTGTGTGCTTTTCTTTTCAATCATGAAATCATTTTTTTTTTTTTTTTTTTTTTTTTAAAAAAAATTTTTTTTTTTTTTTTTTTTTTTTTTTTTTTTTTTTTTTTTTCTTTTTAAATATAATTCTTTTCAATTATTTAATATGTTACAAACCTTCAGTAAATAAGCTATAGAAAGTAAAGGAGGTACATTCTAATATTTTTAATATTGAAAATAATATTTTGGTGCATTATTATTTAATTATTTAAAGTAAAAATAAACAAATAATTTGCACAACGGTGTATAGTCTTAAAAATTGTAACAGTATTAAATTAAGAAATTACATTCTTTACGATAATAAAGCATTGTGTACAACAGCATTGGCTGTTTGTTCAAAGAAAAATAATATAAAAATCTACCTAAAAGTCACACAATTTTGTGTTTATACAGCGTGTGATACTTTTTTCCTCTCTTACATGACATAATAAAAGCGAATATTTGCTTAAATTATTTTTGCAGTCTTTTTTTTTTGAGATAAAAATATTATTTTATTGATTGTTTATATCACTGTCGTTCTCTTATATCATATTTACATCCATGGCTCCACATAAAGTTTTAAGATGGTTTAGCAAGGTTTGTATGCTTTATAACTTTCTTTATATTCAATTATTAAAATAATCCAAATTTTTTTTCACCATTCTAGCATTAAATTTATATTTTAACTTGAAAACTCAATATCATCAATAAAAAATTCTATTTGTCAAATATGTATATATATATATATAATTTGTTGTCTTATCTTATTATTGTCTTGTTAATAGTCTAAAAAAATTGGAAAAACTGAAAAATCCGACCCCAGAAAATCTATTGAGGTTCAATGGGAAGAAAAGTGCATATCTAACGAACAAAAAAATATGGATCTTGAAAATTCAATAAATTATCTAACAGAGTTTAATACCGTTGTGGAATGGCGGAAACATAAATCATTACCACCACCAAGACGGCGACAAACTAAAATTTCAGGTGTAGATCCAAGAAGATTTGGAATAGTGGAGCCTTTTTTTGCAGAATTAGATTATGCTGATTTAAGTAAAGAAGATTGGAACTTCTTTATTAATTTTCTATCCTTACTGGATAAGGGAAATTTAGAGACAGATTCATTTGATGAATTCGAGACCCCTGCCACAATATCGGTGGCAAAAAAAGAAACTATTAGTAATAGAAGAGGAAGTGCAACATCATTTTATTTAGATAATAAAGCTGAAAGGCGAAAAACGGCACCAATGGTTCTTGGAACTTATAAAAAGAAAATTGAATTAAAAATTCCGAAAGTACCAAAAGTTCCGGAGATCATATATAATAATAATAATAATAATAATAATAATAATAATAATAATAATAATAATAATTATGAGGATATTAATAAAGTTCCAAAAGTTCCAGAGGTCATATGTAATAAAAAAAATGATGATATTAATAATTTTATGAAAACCACTACAAATATACAATTGTTGTCTGATATATGCCCAACATGTGAAAGACAAGTAGCAGGATTTGGATATTGTGCGCAATGGTGTTCTCCATGTCAATCCAAAGCTTTCGAAAATCAATTTGAAACATGGACGAGTGGTAATGATGATATTGACATATTTATATTAGAAACTCAATTAGCTTCTCAGAGCATATTTAATTATTTAGAATGGATACCTTACAATCGACTCGAAGATGTAACATATATTGGTTCAGGAAGATTTGGAAATTTATATCATGCAATTTGGTTAGATGGTCCAAGTGAAAGATGGGATCAAGATAAACGTCAATATATAAGATGTGGACAATGGAAAGTAGCATTAAAGAGTTTTAATAATTCAGATACGTTGAAATCAGAATTTTTTACTGAGGTGAATATTATTTTTTAATATAATTAAATGTAAATTATAGTTTACAATAAATTAATTTTCAATTTTCAATTTTTTTTTTTTTTTCGTTTTTTAGTTAGGTAATTTCTTACGTACGGAAAATAATAGTGGTAAATATATTATCAGATACTACGGAATCACCCAGGATCCAAAAACTCAAGATTATATGCTAGTAATTCAATATGCCACGCATGGAAATCTTCGAAATTATTACAAACAAAACTCAAAGATCATGACCTGGCAAAAACGTTTAGAAATTTTATATGGAATAACGATCGGTTTAATAGGAATACACAAATATGATATAACGCACAAAAATTTGCATAGCGGAAATGTTTTAATTAATTTCTCAGAGACTTTATTAGGAGATTTAAGAAATACATGTAAGATGTATGATATTAATTCAAAGACAATTGATGATAATGATGATTATTCTAAAAAAGAAGAAATTTTACCATTCATGGCACCCGAGATATTATGTTATAAACCTTACACCAAATCTTCAGACATATATAGCTTTGGGATTATAATGAGGGAACTTGCCCACCTCAAATCACCTTTTATGAATAATGTCAACCTCACAATTGATGATGAGACAATGTTTGAAAAAAAGAATGTTATCATACCTGAAATTTATATAAAGTTGATGAATAAATGTTTAAGTCAAGATCCGTATGAAAGACCAAGTGCTGAAGAATTATATAGGACAATAGGAGAATGGTTATCAAAAGTTATTTTTGTTTCAAACAGTGATTTATCCCAACAATTTCAAGAGGCAGAAGGATGGAGATTAAAAAGAGTAAAATGGGAAAAAGAAGGAGAAATTCATCTCAAGAAATTAACTTCAAAATTAGTTTCATGGGCATAAATGAATGAAAATTATAAAAAACATAACATTTAATTCTAATTAAATTTTTTTTTTTTTTCATTTTTTTTTTACCGAACATTTCATTCACATGAACTAATAATTCATTACCTTGAGGTGAAGTGTGTTTATTGAAATTTCTCATTTACTTTATGATTTCGATAAAAGAATAAAAGAATTATCTTTAGCGAATTTAATATTAGGAATAATATTATTATTATTTTTTTTTTTTTAAAAAAAAAAAAAAGTATTTTTAATCATTTTCATTTCATTTATTATCGTATCATTATTTATCATTGTAAAATATTTTCATTTATCATTCAATATTCCATTTCTTATTTTTTTTTATCAAGATATTTGAAATAATAATACTTAAATGATTATATTTTAATATTTGTATTTTAAGAAATAAAATCTATATAATGCGGCGTTGCATTTTTGACTATCTAAATTCGGAAGGTGGGAGATTAATCAAACCTTAAAGGAAATTATGAATGTATTCCGTTAATCGTTAAAATGTTAATTATAATTAATGCAAAGGAGAATCAACTGTTTAAAAATGGTGATTTTTCAAACTGAGTAACGTTTGACCGAAATCAAAAATGTTGCATTTGTTTTGTTTAAAAAAAGTCTTGCATTATAATAATTTAATAACTTCTTAATGACTTAAATAGCTTCTTTTCTTTTCTTAGTTTAAATTTATAAAAATCGAAAAATCGAATTCAAAAAAAAAAAAAAAAAAATGTTTGAAAAACGCAAGATATTACATTTATTAACATCAATACTTCGGGATCCAAAGAAATGTGTGTTTTCCGTTTTATTTATAATCTTAATAACTTTTATAATAAGTTATTCACATGTGTCACTACTGCATGAAGAAGATTCGATTTTCAATGATATATATTCGAAAGTATGTAAAAAAATTTTTTTTTTTTTTTTTTTTTCTTTTCGTTATTTAAAAAATAAAAATTTTATTAATTATCTTTTATTTATATTTAATCCTTAACTAGTCACTCTCGGATGTACCTATATCCAAAACTCGTTATAAATCTTTAAAAGATATTATCGAATATGACAATTCAATAAATATCAAATATTGTGGCACGGAAGATTGTAAATTTTTAGTTGCATATTATCCTTTTCTCCAAGAAAACAAATTATGTGATAATTATATCGACTATATTAATTTGGCACGATTATTAAATCGTGTTATAGTTCTTACAAATGTTGGACCCACCCGAATAAGCACTTGCCAAAAATTTCCATTTAGTTTTCATTACGATGTTAATTCATTATCTCAAAGATTTCCGGATGTTAAATTCATTTCTCAACTGGAATTTCAAAAGTGGACAGAATTACGATATCAAAAACCTACAGCTTCACATGTTTTTATTACCAATGGAGGTTTAAATAATTCGATAGAAGATATGATTCCATATCCTGATACTTTGAAACGTATTTGGTGTTTAGATAAATTTAATTTAAATTTCGATAAATTTTCCAAATTCAAACAAATAAGTACAAGTAAAAATAATTGGAAAGATGTAGAAAATAATAATGATTTTATTTCATTTTTAAAATCCAATTTACAATTTACTCAAGATGTATTATTAATAAGGCATGATATTCGACATCCTTTATTTTTTGTTGAAAAAATTGAACAATTGAATTATGCGAAACATATTATAGATACAGCGGAAATGATTATTAATAGATTAAGACCGTATGTGGCTGTACAATGGATTTTGGAACATGCAGATGAAAATAATTTGATTTCATGTGCTGATAGACTTTTAGAAAAATTACAAAATACAATAAAGAAATCAAAAATCGAAAATATTTATATGGCAACGGATTATCCACTATTTGAGTCAATTCTTAATATTAATGATAATAATAATAATGATAATAATAATGATAATAATAATAATAATAATAATAATAATAATAATAATAATAATAATAATAATAATAATAATAAT